TGCAAATAGGTTCCTGTGGTTCAGGCTGTAACACAGAGTTGGTATATGTTGTGTATTTTGTCTTTATAACCGGGGCTCCTTCTTCGGTGAACCGAGAATTATTCTGTTTTCAGAAGAAAAAAAGGAAAATTACTTCATAAAATGGTGACTGTCAGGAAGTGTTGGGTCTGTTCCAGTTATGCCAATCACTTAATCTGTGAGCATGCAGGAGGTGGGAAAGGGGACATGGCTCACAGCATGCTCTTCCAACTGCTGCAAACTGTTGGGCCCATCTGGTTGAGATGATCACAGTGATGTAGGCTGAAGCGTGTAAGCACTGCCCCAAATACTGGAAACTACAGTCAGATTTCAGGATGACTTGAGTTACTGTATTTCAGTGATGGGCACTGTTAGGAAAACTTGGAGAAATGAAGGAATTATCTATCTAGAATAAACCTCGGGAGGGAGAGAGAAGATAATTCCTTCATTTCTCCATCTAGAATAAACCTCGGGAGGGAGAGAGATAAAGAAGATGTCGATCTTGATAGTACATTTCAGATGAAAGACTTTTCAATCTGGACTTCTAGGGAGGGGAGGGGAGGAGAGAGGGAAGAATCGTGATCAAAAACTTAAAAAGGGACCAATTGAAAAACTGCGAAGGGAAAGTAGGCAAGGCTTTCCTGAGGTTACATCAGATGCCACTTGCTCAAAATTTCACCCCAGAAGGCTGCTGCTTTTCCTGTCCTTTTACCAGGTCACTGATGAACAAGTGATAGCTGCAAGTGAAGTGGCAACGACACCACCCCACCACCCATACTGCATAGCAGCATGTTCTTTTTTAAATTTTGTTTTGGATGAGAATGTTTGTATATGGTTCAATGCAAATATTTATGGAAGGGTTTTAAATAAGAAATGGGAAAAGCTCAGAGCATACATATACTGCAGGTTACGTCTGAACTGGAATGGGTGAAAGCTGCTTTCATCTTTACGTAACTGTTCCTGCATTTTTAGAGGCCTCTGAGTAGACAGTCTCCTCCTTCTTTGCACCAGAGGTGGATCTAACGCATTGCTAGGGGAGACTGTTAGCAGAGCGCAGAGGGGAAAGTCAGGCAGATCGGAAGAATCTGGCGTGGGAGGGGCTGGAGCTTTGCATGAAGCAAAGCTGCTGTGGGTGACAACCCCAGTAACATACTTCCCATCCTTACACCTCCTCAGTTCTATGAAGTACGCAGGGTTTGAGAACCCCCTCTTTTTCTAGGACAGAATTTCACCTTTTTGACCTTCGACAGTATCCAAAGGAGTGCAGCTGTGTCTGCTGCCAGTACGGAGACATGGAATGTTTACCCATGAAAGACCAAAAAGGCTTTGGTTCCCTCTTAACCTGTTTCAAGGTTTGTGAGGCACTATGGATCTAGCAATTAAACTGGGGAGGGAAAACTTACCTGAAAAAGTCAAAGATGCCCGGTGAAGGCAGACATTTACAGCAACTATGTTGTTAATGAAGCCACAGTAGAGATGATGGCTGTTCTGCTGTTCAGGTGCGCTGCCAGTAAAACTGAAGGTAGTGTGTCAATGACTACTGTGTACATGACTTGCTGAACATGAAGCATTTATTTATGTGAGCAATACATTAACAAGTGGCAAAGTTATACACTAAGTTTATGTGGAAATATATTCCCCCTGCACTCCAGCACACCAGTCAACTGAATCGGGGCACGAATTCTCAGTCCAAATGATGGTTAGCAACAGCTACAGCATACTGTGCACTAAAACAACCTTGCTTCTTCCAACCTCTCTGAAGTCTTGCTTGAAGACCCTGATTTTAAGTACACAAACAGTTAAAAACAATTACCAGTGTTTCATTAATTACCTGCCCATGGTTGTAGGCTACTAAAGAGCTTTCACTCTGCAACTGCAGAGTGAAAAAACACTGGACAGTGTTTTTTCTCTCAAGTTAAAGAATTAAAGTGCATAGCAGCAGCTGTGCCTAATTGCTCAGTGGAAGGAGCTCACCAACATCTAGGTGTTCCCTTTTCTTAACAAAAATAGTTCTCTGTGAAGACTTCGAGCGCTCCATCACCAGTGCATCAACTGACATCGAATATGTGTGGACCACTTCAATTAACTGGACAAATCCAGTTAATAACACTGGATTTGTTCTAACCTACAAGTTGAGGAAGCTTCTTATGCATGTGGGGGGCTATGATTCATATGACTGTATGAATCATGTATACACATATATACAAAATCAATTTAACTCTTGTCATTAGGGACTCAGGCCCATCTGAGGAGTCTGCAGAACTCGCCCAACTTCCACTGAAGCTTGAAATGCAGTCATACTGCTAGACAAATATCAGGGTTATTACTTTCTTTTTAGCAAAAAAGTAGATTAGTAACTGTACAGTAGGTAAAAAGCAGTTTTTAAAAAAAATACAGAAATTACACAAAAGGCTGTAGTAAAGTGCCTAGCAAGAATATAAAGAACAGGAGAACTGGTGTAAACGGACAAACACTATTGCATCCTTGCTCCCCTTACCTCTTCACAAATTCTCCTGCGTGCATTGTAACAGCATCAATGCTCAATGATAATACGTCAAAAAAGACCGTTTTCACTTCACTATATAAAGTATTAGAGAGCTTAAAGCCAAGAATAGAGTCATATCAGAAACTATACTTTGGAGCATGATTAGCTCACTTTTGTCTGTACCCTATACAGTGAGAACTGCCAGGAACCCTCAGCAGCTGGCTGACAGTGCTCTTCATGGAGGCACAGCTCATACCCTCCCGAGAGCAGGTGTAGCTAGAGCCCCCTGCCTCAGATCTGCTGAACATTTACCACTGAGCTACCGCCGTTTCTCTTTCCCCTTCTCCTCCCTTCATCAGCATGTTTCCCTCGCCCCCATCAGTTTTCTGCTAGAGGGACAGCCTCTGGCTACATCAAAGCTGCAGATTATTTAGGGCTATTGTGTTGTCTAAGTGTGACTTCTGAGAGATGGAGAAGCCAAGCATTTCTCCATCCCTTATCCCTGTCCTTTCTCTACATTGATCCCCAGCCTTACTGAGAGCTCTCAGAGCCCTGGACGTAGTCAGGGAGGCTGATATCTGTATGGAGAGATCCATTTCCATTATGAGTTTTGCTGGGAAGAAATCTGTACTTTGTCTTTATGTAAAAATATGGAGCAAGTTACACTGAAGCCGCATTTCAACTTTTTACTCAGTATTTTCAAATGCATGCTCCGTGACAAACCACCCTGTGACTAACTGTGTAAAAAACCAAGGCTATACAGATAGAGAACCTGAAGTGTTAAAAAATATATTTTCCCTCTCCCCCTTATCCCTTGACAAGTTAGCCTTTAAACAAACATTAATACGAGGTAAGCTGACAGAACAACACTGAATAAATAGCTGCGAAAAACTTTTGGTTGCTAGATGTCTGCAGGCATCATGTAAACGGTATGCTACCTTCATGCTAGTTTAAAAAAAGGTGTTCTACATCAAGGGATCCATACTCTGGCACTTCTGGCAAGAAACAGATGTTTTCAGGCTGGTAAAATTTTGAGATAATTAAAAAAAAGTAAAATAAATACATTTTCCCTCACTAGGAAAAAAAGCCACATTTGTGCTCCAACAGCTATCACTTAAGTTGTAAACCCAGGAAAGCCAAATTTTAAAGTTACCTGCCTGTAGAAGAGTTCATGATAAGATTTTTGCTTTCAGAAATCTGTCACTTAGTGCTGCTGCCAGTTTTCTAAACAAACAACTGGCATCTTTACGCTGTGAACCAACCTGCTAAGTGACTCAGGTTTGATAACAGAAATACTTTTCTGCTTCAACAGAACTGAGCTTAGTCTGAGAGGTTTTCCCTTTTTTTTTTTTTTTGGACTAGTCTTTTTATCTAGCCACCTAGAAAGCATAACTAAGTTCCTCCTGAAGTTTTTTTCAGAATAACAATTTGCAGTTAAATGTAAACACTGATACCATAAATGTAGTGTATACAAAAGGCACAAGACAATTAGATTTGTGTTGCTGAAACTTCCTTGACTTTGAAAGTTGATAATGCATCTTCTATTATCTGGCCAGTAAACGCCGATCCTAAGAAAGCTGCTAGCTCCTTACTTAACTGAAGGGGGTTTCCTACGTGCAGCAGCTTGGCTTTTTGGTATTGCAATCAAACGTCCGTTGTCCTGTATATGCAAAAATCACAAGTTATAACATTAAGTCTCCTTGATTGTACATGATATTCGTTATGTGGTAAGAAAGGCAGTGTCTTAAAGAACAAGTGAAAAAAGAAATCTGAGACAACTCTTGATTAATAAGAAACTGGGATTTTGAAAGACGGCGGCCCTCAGGAACTCAGGTTAGTGAAATGCCTTTTGGATCAAAGTTAAATGGTAACATTTGTTTCCCAAAGGGGATAACGGCTCCAAACAGGACAATAAAACCCCTATTTCATAGCACTGTCCTGTGCAGCTCCCATCAAATTCCCCAGCTGGCCAGCTTCATTTCTGCATTATCCATCTGAACGCAGGCTTTTTATCGCTCCACTTACCAGTGACGCGCTGTAGCATTCAATTAACAAAGGAGGTTTTCCCCCCCGTCTCCACAGTTTTTTAAACTATTGGTAGTGCACATCTGAGGGAAAATGGAGCCTCTGCCATAATGTTTTCCAAAAATTTTCCAAAAATGTTCCAAAACACGCACAGACACTTCACTTGGGTTTCCTTTTCATCAAAAATTGCTTATCAAGCACGCAAAAGAAAATACAGTCCACCAAGCCACTACATTACTTGTACTCAACACTGGCTGTTCTCCCCATTCATAAAGCCAGTAGTGCAAAAATTTGATTTTGAAGTCAACTACTTACAGCAATTTGAATTAACGGGTGAATTTTCAAAACCAAGGCAAGAATATGGACTGATACGTAAGGAGGCCACATTTTCCGTGTGCTGAATATCAAAGTAAAACCAGCCATTGAATTTTTACAATTGTAAACTCAGACTCCTTTTTTTTTTTTTCTCCTCCATTTCCTCATACTCGGAATCATCCTTCACCATTCAAAACCAGTAATTTTAAGTTGAAACATTCTTTATATGGTTCAGAAGTAGTATGTTTAGTTTCATGTTTCAAGCAGTGACATGGAGACAGCTAATCATCTGTCAGTTTGTTTTCTGAGCACATCCACACAGGAGCAGACAGGAGCAGCTGGCCAACAGGGCTGATATTTGGAAGAATGCATCTTCCTTCCAACGACAGCTTTTTCTTGAACTGGAACAGAACGTTAATCACAAAATACATTATTAGAATTGAAGAATACTTAAAAATTAAATTACTGCAACAGATCTCATCATCTTAAAGGGGAAAGTGAACAACAGCTGAATGAAAATCCCACCCTGAAGAGGAACACAGTAAGACTGTTCACAGTTATGTTATTAATCCACTTTCAGGATGACAGTGATTAAAGACTGACTACCTGGCAAGCAGGCCACCAGTTTATAAAATGAAGTGAGCTACTTTTACAGTACTTCCAGGTACCAATATCATTAAAAAAACAATTCTCTATTACGTTAATGTAAACCACATCTGGCATTCTCAGTAATTAGTCCTCTGATTAATTATAAAGGATTACAGGATATTGAACCTTAGTTGGGACAGAAATTCAAATTACTAACACACTGGCAGGGGCTGTGGGCTCTATTTTTCATGTCAAAGATGAAATTAGTTGGTTTTGTTGTTGTGACTTCAGCATCTTTATTATTCTATTCACTCCCTAGGAACAAACAAACTCAAATACTGACAATAAAGTAATGAAGTTAAAAGCAAAGTAGCTTAAAAAAATATAATGTAGAAACGTTTTGATATAAGGGCTCTTATTCCAGCAACTGTATGTCAGTGATAGATACACACACACATATATACACATATATATATATACACGCACACAGAGTAACCTAGCTTTTCTGTTACATCTCCAGAAAGTCTTTTAAGTGCCACATAGAAATATCTCAGACAGAGCTAAGGGTACAATCAAACTGGCACTTACGCTTATGCCAGAGAAATTATCGGTCCTTAGCTACTGCCCTTTTGAGATGTGCATGCATTGGTCTGAGGCAAAACTGACTTCCAAGAACCCCTTTACGTGGCTTTACACTCACTCTTTGGAACATAACCTCCTGTGAAGCTGGGCTGTCTTTAAAAAACTGCAATTCTAAATGGATGCTCACAAAAAGAAAACAAAACAAAAAAAACCCCCAAACAACATCCCCCCCAACCTCAGGGGTGGGGTAATCAGACTACAAACACAAATCTAACTGTTACTTTCCCTGACTGGACTAAAAGAAAAAAACAACTGAAAAAGAGCATGAGGTGTTTATCAAGCTAAACAGCTTGAAAAAAACCCTTTCTTACACACTTTCAGCATCTTGAGAACAATCACAGACCATGTTTAACATTCAGAATAAACTGAATGACAAAGTTCCCATAAAATGTACACGCTGTTCAAAGAAAGATTAAAGTTTAGAAGTTATTACTTAAGTAAATAAAGTGTTAGGACCTTTGAAAGTAGAACTCCAGCCTGACAAAACTAGTTGCAATTAATGATATTTCTGTAACATAATCAAAAAATCTGTTTCTTTAAAGCCTGTCTCCAGTGCTTTACTCTTGAGCAGCAATGACATGTAAAAGACATGAAACTAACTGAAGTTGAGTAATTTATTCTTTTTCAGAAGCTGTTGTTTTGTTGAAACAACTGATGGATTAAACAGGGCAGAAGCATGTCATTTTACATTTTGAACGAAGGGTTAGAAGTGAGAGTTTAGATTCTATTAAAAAAAAACCCCCTACATAGAGCAGTCAAAATTGCAGACACCGGCTGGGTTTCATTTGCTCGTCTGTTTAACTCTGTTCATTTGACACCACATTTTCAACACTTTAACACTTCACACCATCATCAAGTTTGTAGATGTACCTGTATCTGGAACCGTCTGTGCCTTCATTCACCACTAAACACAAAACCAGAATGTAAGGGCCAAGAATTTTTTAGTTTCCCTGACGAATCCAACTGAACTTTTGGGACTTTTTTGGTACAAGCTACAGGCCACCTGTTGGTTATCTGCACACCTCTACCATTTTTATAATCTGCCTTGACAGTGCAATACCATGCCTGATGGGTCTAGTAACAATCACTGCAGTTCTTTGATGGCTTTCCATGCCTTCCACTTCCTCCGGCAGTGACTGAGAGCAACCTGACAGCCGTGACAGCATGTCCAGGAGTCACGTCACACACAAGTGAAGGACATCCACTTGAGACACTTTTTCAGGGTGACTGAAAGGGTGCTTCCAATAGCAGAGATGGAAATGACCTTCCTGGAACGACTCCTCCAATGTTGTTGGAAAATCATGAATTATTTGGTATGCTGACATTCTTAGGATTGGAGTAAAATTTTTTATCCAGCTTTAAATATGAAATAATTCATTTCTGTAAGCTTTGGTGGCATTAGAAATCTTCAAATACTAAAGTGAGTATGATGATCGATTGTATTCATTCCCCCCAACCCAATTATTAAGGTCCCCTCCACTTACGTACATAACAGAATTTACTAGCTGCTTCTCAAACCTGCCTTCTGAGAAGTCTATGTTGCAAGATATCAATACAAGAAATCAAAAAAAATCTCAGCTGTTTTTGGCAATAGGTGACGAAATGCTCAGGAAGTCACATGGACACCTTTTGTCTTCAGTAGGCAGCACTTTTTTATTATTAAATAGGATGCAGCTCAGTACCTGGCATAGAAGAACAAGCTGCTAATAGCTTACGTGTTAGAATAAATCTTTTTTCCTTCATCATCTGATAGACCTTTACCTGCTTTAGCAGACCAAGCTATGATCTTTGTGTTCAGTGCTAAGAACTAACTTCTCATTTTCAAACTTAGCTTTACAAATATTTGCTGGACAACTTGAATAGTCACAATTCCATTATCTTTCTAAAGACAGGGAATAATAATAACAATAATATTTTGGAATATCACCTAAAAGCAATGGGTATAAAGGTTAAACTATTTTGCAAACATGACACATCAAGAAATAGGAGGTTTAGTTTAAAACTATGAATTCATGTGCTACTACTCGTGGTAAAAAAATTAAATTGAAGAAAAGAAAACATAGGAATTGCTTTAGTAGTTTTCTTTTGTGCATTCTTCAAGTGGTAAGATATCATGGAATAACATATTAAGTACAGAGAATATTAACATACCTTTCCTTATATATTCAGATGTTTCTTTTAAGGGAAATTAGGTTTCATTTTCCATGGTTAATGCAGGATTGCTCATACCTTTAAAGACAAAAAATGGTATTTCCACAGGAAAAGGTCTCATGTCTATTTCAGCAAATAATACAACCTTTAATTAACAATCCACCTTAATGTCATTCCACTGTTACCAAGTCTATTCCTGTCCTGTGTCCACTACACAGCTTTTCACTAGTTGCAACAAGGTGTCATCATATTCTGGTATAAGCAATTTGTCGCCAAAAGAATTATCACGCTCAGCCTAAAAGACAATTAGCACCTACTGGTATTAGTGTTCTCAGTATCTCTTGGTCAGGTTTAACTGGGAAGGACACAGCAGCTTGATACATGGAACTTCCTACAAACATGCATTTAAAATGAGCTTCATGAATTTTGGTTCGTGAATACAAACCAAGTGACCTCGGTCATTTTTACACTATATCCTCCAAAACTAGTTCATTACAAAACGAATCGTTGCAGCATAAATCAATTCCTTACCAACTTTGCCCTTTTCAGCCTTTGCACTAATTTCTGACCACGATGGCGTATCCGTAAGAAGGTGGCTCTGGGAGTCACGCAACGGCTTTGCAGGAAACAGGTGGTTCTCACTGTAATGCCAATAAAAAGAACATTAGTAAACTGCAGTAATTTTTCATTATCTTACCACACATTACAAACAGTTTGTCGTACGCAGTATTTTCCCTACTTTACCTTGCTTCTTTTCTGATGAATCACTACACTTTTATCATTACATACATTACGTTAGAGTTGTCACAGATGCAAGCGCAATCTAAAAAGCAACTCCCTAGCACAGAACAGGGAAACATTCTGATTTTTTCTTTGACAGCTATTATATATTAATACAGGTACTTCAGTTCCAAATGCACTCTTATCCATATTCTCTCCCACTACAATAAACCTGACATGATAAATAGTGGAGACAACATCTCCAAAATCTCTTGCCTAATGTAAGCTATGGATCACTGGGGTAAGATTTAAAATGTCAATAAATAGCTAGCTGAAACGTACTGTATTTCTTTTATGAATAAAAGATTGTCAATACAATTCCATTATCATTTCTTAGTCACCTATTCAAGTCTACTAGACTTATCTCACCTTATTTCCATAAATTTAAGTATATGTCTGAGGATTAGCTGAATTACAGCTTAGCTGTTTAAAATCTGACCTGTATTTATTAATAGGATACTCTTCATTTGCTTACCGCTTTTAAGTATCTTATGCATGGTTCTATTTATATTTGCACAGGAAAAAATAGAATATCAACTATTCGAAATGAGTAACAAAAAGCAGATTACTTTTTGGATGTTGAATTAAGACCACCAGGTGTGGAAGCTTGCTCAGGATCCTGATTAACAAGGCAAGTTGGGAAGGAGCAACCATCCCCTAGACTGAAAAATTCAGAATTAGTGTCATACATAAAAAAAAAAAACCTTCGAAGAACTGTTTTTTCTAAAGTGAATATTACTGTATCTTATTTCAAAAAAACTAACCATGCCCCCAAACCCTGTGGATCCTGATTATTCAACAGTTTCAACAAATGAAGCATTAAAAACTGAGCATACCTTGAAAACACAGGCAGCAACCAGTATTTCTTCTCATCACCAAACACCTGCCTTAGATTTTTGCTGAAGCCCAAGCTAAAGCCATTCTTGTCTGTTCTATGACGAAATATGGGAGCTCTGAATACCTCTTAAAAAGAAAAAAAATTAATTAGATCTCTTTGCAAGATAGCACTTTTAAGTTTCACACCGGTATGTAGGCAATTGTGCTGATGATAGCATCGTCCAAGAGGAAAGCCTATCCTGCCCAAATGGCTGAGAAAGCCAGTCCACTCATGAAAGCCAAAGTCAGGGCTACACAGTCACTGTGCGTGCAGAGGAAGTCCTATGGCTGAGGAAGGGTGGAAGTCTTCTCCACCCTCCTCCCTAATCAAGGCAAGGAAGAGTGAGGAACTCACTTTTTAAGGAGGTGTGGTATGTTTTATGAAGATTTCAGCATGTGACAATACCACAGAGAGCGTTCAAGAAAGAAAAACCTAAACAAAGGGTTTACTACAGAAAGAGTAATGGAAAAGAAGAAAAGCTTAACCTACTTTAGTAGTAAGAGTAGCTTTTCACACCCTGGGGTATGAAAACATTGTGTGTTTTTACAGCTGCACAGAGAAAGCACTTTACTAGTAGACCCAGATTATTCCCCATGGATGCCCAACCTCAATTTCTGGAGAAGAGAGCTAAATATAGCTTCAAGTGTTGCAAAGTGCCTAAAGCAGAAAACTCATTCACTTTCCACCAAGTGACTGATAGCCATTTAATTCCCTTAATTGGCTATATATAGTAGGCAAACTATGTCCTGATGTCCTGACAGTACAGCTCACACAAACCATGCTGCAACCACACAGAGATCGTCTTTCTGCAGTAAATCCTTAGCTATGAACTGCTAGAAATGACCTTCAACACGTACTACGCATTAGTTACAAGGTGTTTTAAAGAAGGGGGAAGGGAAAATAGAGATACCCTTTCAGATGCCCATGTTAGGCTAGGAAAACAGCTCCAGGACAATTTAAGCACAATCACACTTAAAGCTGTCATGGCTTCATTACCAAACTATCGCATGTTCACGGTTTCACATATCGAGCAATTTCCCAAAGTAAAATGGCAAGAAGAGACAAACTGATCTTTTTGAGTAGCTTAAGTGTACAGAAAACATGGTGTATTACCTGCATGGAATTAAATTTGTTTTAAAAACAGGAAATGTTGAATTAGACGTGTTCTGCATTATGGTTACCTTTGAACAATTTTTTTTTTGCGCTAAAATGATAAAAACAGTTTATAAACAGAATACTTCATTATTTCCGTTCATTTAGGCATCATTAATAAAACTTTTCTCCACTTCTAACTAGATTGAACAAAGTAGATGATTTTTCAGAATACTGAAGAAACCCACAAACCCTAGAGAAATCTTGAAGCAAACAAGCTTTCTTCCAATTATATATATTCAAAGTTTTCCATTAATCATCTACATATTAGTAAATCCCAAGAGAACTGGAAAAAACAGATCAATTCATTGGCTTACTCTAAATTCAGCTTGTATCAACAGAAAAGCATTTAGAGATTTAGAAACTTTAATGAATATATTGCAACTTGGTATTATTACAGTCCAGGATGTAGTATAGAACAGGCACTCAAATCTTCTGCACCTCTTTTTTTTTTTTTTTTTTTTTTTTTTTTTTTTAAGATTTGTAACCAGACAAACATGCATCCAACTGGTGGGAAATCCTGGTTTAACACTGATATTCAATGCAGTTATATATAAACTCCCATAGTAGAGGCACAGGCCATCTTCTTTGAGGTTTTTAAAATTAACTCATAATATAGACTCCTTTCTATGCATCTATGGTTATGTGGTAGACAGGACTCAAAACTGTGAAACCGCCTTTCAGATCTCCGTGTTCATTTACTAGTAAATATAGAAGCACTGCCGTAAAGTCTGTTCTGTATCAGATCATTCTGTGACATGGGCTCTTTGTGCTCATTCATGTTGATCAAAACTAACACCACTAGGGCCACAATCAGCCTGCCTTCCAGACGTTTTTTTCCTCCCCTTACCTCCAGTATAGGCAAAGTTTTGGAATTAATAACTATGTCTTTCAGACAAAGACAATTTAAAGAAAATTGTAGCCGAATTGAACAGCGGAACTCTGGTTCTGCAGGGGGCAAGGGTGAGAAAGCAGCGCTGGAGTCACTACCCTGAGACACCACATCAGAGGACTCTGACCTGGGGGCTGGGAACGCCAAAAAAGAAGCACTTGTGCGAGCATGCATTAGTGCATCTAACATTTATTACAAAGTGATCTCAATTTTTTTTTTTTTTTAAGTTTATTCAGTTTCTGTTGACAAGCTGTGGATGGGAGGAACTGGGAGGAAGAGGGTAAGGTCATTAATAGCTTGGCCCCTTGGGGCAAGAGGAAAAGAGTCAGAATTTCCGGGGAGCAGCAGAACTGGGGAACCAGTACTGGATATTGCCAGACCCAGGCACTTCTAACCAGGATCCAAGGAACCTGCAGAGGATTGCCCACTTTTTCCATTACCCCCATACCTATAATACACATCTCTTACTTATTTTTTGCTGTCAAACACAGAAGCATTAAATCCTACTTACCTAATGTAGACTTATTCTTGCTGACAAGCCAACAGTGATACCCAAAGAGAGAAGACAGACTGACAGAAAACATAGCTGCAGCAAAGAATAAAAACATGATGTGGAACTTGGCTTGAGTATCAGGAAGGTCATTCTAAACATAAAAAAAAAATTATGCTGTTAGAATTGGGGAAATAGCTGTTTAATTTGATTATTAATAATCTTCTATTCAGCCAAATCAAATTCAGTGCAGACACAAACGTACCACACAACAAGAGTCTGAATAAATGAATTATACCCCTTCTATGTACAGACGGCCATGCAATTAGGTTGCTGACAGCATCTAAGTTAAAGAAATGGGCCCTTTCTTAAGAAAGTATAAATACTGACAACAAGAATCTGAAATTTGGATCTGAACTTTGAAGTGTCTTTTAGTGAAGAACAACTTATCTTCACAAAAATTGTCTTGTTTAATTAGCCTTTTCAGAATACTTATATTATAGCATAAATATTGCAAATCTAAGAAGGTAATATCCTAAGTTGTGGAGGCAGATAATCATAATTAAAATACTAGAAAATTTCTCTGAAGCTTTTTCATAGCATAACATTAAAGGAAGTTAACAAAACCTATCTATAATATAAATTCCCTTGTAAAATGTTTTCTAAATAATTGCATACTTGTTCTACGCAGCTTCAAAATAATAAAGAAATAAGTGAAATTTCATGAACTATGATAAACAGAAAAAAATAGAGGGCTATGATTATTAGCAAAACTTTTGTACCTCAATTAGGAGATACTAGATTACAATGTAATGTCTTGGAATTTTAGACTTCTCGCACAGTGGTAACTTCTCATGCTTAAATACAGTATGTAGATTAGGGTACCTACTGTCCAAAACTTGATAAAATACTGTAAATCCGTTGCAGCAATGAAAAGGCAATACAGTAGCGAGTAAGCCAAGAAGAGAAGAAAAAATTTGTAATTGGAGAATCCTACACAGTTGTTCACCTTGGTAACAAAAAAAAGTAAAAGTAAAAATGGAATGTAATGAAAGTTATTTTCTTTGCTTTCATCCAATTTAAAATTAAACTTATTTACTCTAAAAAAGTTAATATCAGCATGTAAAGCAAGTTTTGCCTCCTATCTCTGGTGTCTCAAGCTACTGAAATGTATTTAGCTTCAACTCCCAAATTAGTGTAGTAATTCTAACCAAAACCAAAACCAAAACACTACCACCACCACCACAAAAAACCCAAAGAACTTTACCAGGTAATACCACTTTCAACAGCTTACTGAAATTGAATTTTCACTTACGGTATGAAATCTGTTCCCAGCACATCTGATGTAAATGTGACTGCAGTTACAGTTACTTTTTTAGTTTGTAGGTAAGTTTAAGTATCCATGTTTTACCATTAGGCATACTGCACATAACAGCTGGGACAGTTACAAGCCAAGAATTTGAATCTCGACTGAATTTTGTGAGTCTCATTTAATCCACATCCTCCTTCATTAATCATACTACATACTAAAACTTCTTAGTAAGATTCTCAAACGTAAGAGTATTCATAGGAGATTCCTAAAAATATTTACAATTATGTAAAATAACGAGAGAAATACCACTTGAATAAACAGAAAACATTCCATCTCAGTGACAACATGACAGCAAATAAAGAGATTAGGAACATGTAAATACACATCCAAATGTTAAATAAATCTCATTTTATCATTTTTACTTATGGGCTTCAAGTTCACCCGTTTCCCATTTTTAAAGAATTTATACAGGATAATGAGCAACTAGTATACACTATGATCAGAGAGACATGATGAGGGTATATTTAGTACCATAGCAGCTTCCCATTAGAGGCAATATATGAAGTATTATGAATTTTAGAGCTCTATTAAACATGTAATGATATTACATTCACCAAATGAAAAATATTGGAGTGCTGCCCATGGACAGTTTATTGGTAAACAGCTTCCTCTTTCTTTTATTTGGTTGCATTAAGAAGGTAACCAAAGTTATCAGTGCACTGCTAACTTTGACATAACTCTCCATATGAGTTAAAAAAATTCCATATACCTTCTTTAACTAATTGCTATTGCTGTCAGAAAGATCAGCTAATTAAGAGAAGACTACATCCATGAAAGCACTTGTATGTTGAAAAATAATTCTCAAAAAATAAGAAGGCGTGGCGAGTCTCAACTTCAGCTTCTGGAAGAGCAGGACAAGTTATTGCAACTATTCTCTTCTTTAGGGAGACACTGATGGTAATGGCAGGATACATGGTAATCAGAACAGGGTAAAATCTTAAAATACCAAATGAACTTTCACTGTACACTACTGTTATCCATCCTCAGGGTGGATAGGGGGTTTCTTTGTTTTGTTACTGGTTTTGTTTTTACAAAACATGCCATCTTGGCTAAACATTAAATTTAGCATCGCCATTTAAACATGCAGCAATAGCTACACATTTGTATTAACTACAGTTAAGAAGGACTCACAACAGATTGTTCTAATTAAAAAACTCCAGAAGACATGTTTCTAAGCTCATTATGATTCTTATTGCAAAGTAAATTTACAGTTCTCCACAGTGAAGTATTCTTTTTCATTAAATATGTCAAAGTAAGCAATTCCATGATAAACTGCAAGCAGTTCACATTCAAGGTTTCTATGATAACGCCATTTTCCTGTCATGGTATTTATTTTAGGACCGTTTTACACTGTTTAGTGTAAGAAAAGAAATATCAGTGTTATTTCCCAAAGCCCCAGAAGTTTCCTGAATCAAAGACAGATTTCTTACTTCTTGTTCTTTTGCACTACTGCGTATGGTACACACATTAAAATAAACTTTCATAAATTATTCTGCTCCCTTCAATTTTGACAAAGCCACAGAGTGAGGAGTTCTTACTGGAAGGGAACAGTTCATCAGAAGACTGAAATGAAAGTAAACACCAAGGTTTTGTAACTGTACTATTTGAACATGTAGTATCAAATCATAAAACCCAAGAATGGTGGTTAGACTTGAAGTCTAACGTTTTTGAGGAAGAGTAAAACTGATGTATGTACCCACAACTGGCTAAATAATGGTGTGCTATTGCAGTGAAACATTCATACAGAAGAACAGTCCATGTTAACAATTTGGGTTACAGATAACATTTAAAACACTTAATTTTGAAGTACAAAAAGAAGAGATATCCTTTCTGTCTCAAGAGTCAGTTTACTGAAAATGCCAGGCAAAGAAATAACTTACGAGGCACTGAAGGTGATGCAACTCAGTTAACAAAAAGCATCACAGAATTAAGGAGATGCTAAATTCTTTTCAGATGACTCAAAAGACACAGGAGAGATGTTTCAAATGATTCCTAAGGTGTTCCTATTGCACCTTGTTAGTATTAGAGTTGTTATATACAGATTATATTTTTGGTGATGCCTCAAGCCATGGCGTTCCTGCCTGCAGCTCCATCTATATATAGCATGAGTAGCAGCAGCACTAGCATAGAAAATCACTAATGTTTTTATTTCTGCATCACTTAAACCTTTTAGAGTAGTTAGAGGGCCATTAACATTAAATATTTCCGTTTATCACGGCAATTCCATTAGCGCAGGAGTGATAGCCAAAAATAAAGCCTCCCAAAAAGCAGAAGACAGCTGACCTGGGGCTAGGACACGATTACCATCTTACTACCTCTGCCTTCCAAATGCTTCATCTTACTTTCCCTAGGTTATTTTTACCTGTCCTCTCTCCAGAAATCCTTCTCCTAGCAGAATATTAAAACAGTAATTCCCACTACTGTTTCCCTGCTCTCCCTAAGCATAACATGGGTTCTTTCCCCCTTCTTTCCCACCAAACTTGCTCCCACCAAACAATCCCAACACGAAAAGCAAAGCAGGACCTAATGATGTTTTCAGGGGGGGCTAAAACCCACCCATTATACTGATTTGCACCCTTGCTTTTGTTGGCAAAATAGCCATATGATATTTCCCAAAGAACCCGTGAACACGGGTCTTTAAAGGAAACTATAAAGTTTGATCAGCATCTGTGCGATATTTCAAAACCCTCTTGTCATTTCCACGTAGTTGTTTTTTTCAGGGTGAGCAAGGAACTGTGGACAGCCACTCAAATTAGGAAAAATAAAGCAAGACAATACCTATTTTTCAGGTGCATTTCTGTTACTTGGAGTAAAAAAGGAACAATTCTCCATCAAGAAGCATTACATGTCTTTCAAGTACCTTCTCCATTTCTGTTTTTTCTTTTTGCACCCATTGCTTATTAGATTAAAAACAATGAGCAATGTAAATACTCTCTCAAACTGGGTACGTTTATGTTCTTTGGATAGGAAGAGTCTGCAAACAGGTAAGTAAGCAAATGCTACTCAGTGGAAAAAGGAGTTTATTTTTCTAGAAGTCTATGCCCTAGTAAAATACCACTTCACTGCCCCTTTACACAACACTTAAGTGCTCAGTTTATGATTTATTACTTGATGCAATGGATTTTTATTCTGAAACTGAAGTTTACATGAAGAACATTTTCATGTACTATCCTAAGGCAGGACAACTCAAAAAATCCCAAATAGACCATAAAGCTTATGAGAAGTGTGCATAATACTGAATAATAATAGTAATATTGAGACTTTTCACTGATATTTTGTCAGGAATAGCCTGACAGCTATTTTTCTTATAGCTTTCTACAAGACAGCTATAAGAAGGCTGAAAAAAGGAAACAGCCTTTTTTCTTATAAGAAATTTTTCCACGTTCAGCGGTTTTATCTGTTTGTGTTTTGGGGTTTTTTTTGTTTGTTTATTTTTAAGAAGCACACTACTAACACTAAGCATCATCAAGTTTCACATGCTGATATCCCTACAGAAAAAAAAAAAAAAAAGTATGAAATAACCTTACCCTATATTGTTAAATATTTCTTTCAATTGTATCTACCATGCAGCTGCAAAATAAGGGGAGATTCTTAAATCACATTGCATTACGTCAGAGGCTGTAGTCAGGAGGAGCCCAGCACCCCTTCCTCCCCCAGGACAGAGTCTCCTCTGCTCAGGAATTTGATTTAAGAAGGTCAAACGAGCTCCTTAGAACCATCTACCATTCATTTTGTCCAACGCAGGAGATTCTTCTTTTCTGATCGGTTTCATGTGGTGAAGAACTGCCATCTACCACTCAATCCTCTTGACTTGGACCTTACTAAACAATTATCTTTAATTATTTCCATGAGATACCTGCCAAACTGACATAAAATTAATTACATATCCTGTCTACCCACTGGCTCCAAGGGCTGCTGAGAAAAGACAGGAAAACAAAACCACTGTGCAGGCTGACACGGCAGTGAAAGGAGGGAGGGTAGGAGGGAGAAGGGAGAAAAAATGAAAGAAAACAAAGAACTCATAAAAGAGCTAACTTGCTGTTTCCAGCAAGCCCACTCAAGCTGTCCTGGGAGCTTCAGTAAGGGGAACAAGGCACAGCCCTTCCCTTTGTTTTTTAACCTAGGGTAGTATTTCATCATTCAATGCAACTAAGCCACAGTAATACTCAAAGTCCATGAAGAAAATATGCAATTCTTAAAAGAAGTTTTCTTACTGACCAGAAGTCTACCTCATCCTAACTGTAAAAACATGGAGTTACCCAACTCAAAGGTCTAAGACGAATGATATATGAACTTCTTTCCACATCTCACAACTAGGAAAGAGGACATAGGGTATAACTCCAATGGTCCTGCAAGACCAGTAACTTCACATAAGCATGTAACTCTAGGAATAGTGAAGCATCACCTTCATAACAGGCCCCTCGAGTTTATTCTACCAAATCAGAAAGTATGAAAAGAAAGCCAATAGTACACTCACCAAGGGCAATGATGATCCATTTTCAAAATGCATCTTAAAAAAACCCAACAGAATTCCAAGCATCGCAAAAAGCAAAAGAAAAACAAAAGTCAGAAGCACAGTTACATGTCAGATTTAAATTATTCACATACAGATTAAGAATTACCCATATGTACTATTGGTTACCTGATCTATTTAACAAAGATGTCTATTTAAATTCACATAATACAGTTTACCTACAAGTAAACTGTAGGTAACCCAAACTCAAAACACTTGTTCTGTCAAGAGCTTAGTGATTTAGGAAAACGCAATCCATAACTTCAGCTTTAGGATCTGGTCCTCATTCTGAATAGGTTCTTCAACTATTGTTTATTCTCTGACAGAGCCTTAGAAACTGGGCTAATTCGATTATTATATACTTAGTGATACAAGTAAATATATCTCCAAGTACATGATTTGCTTTTATAGAAATATATACAGATGCACACGAGGTTTTTAAGAACTTACCTTGTATGAAAAATCCCAAACATTTTTGCAATTAATCACTCTCCATTAATAAAACATGCACAAGAAAATCAGATATCATTGAAGCAAGTGAATTTTGACAAGGTATTCTGCAAAATATATTATAATGGCATTTCTGCAAATTTCACTCACATTTCATAGGATAACACAGGTCACCCTTTTTCTCCGCCCTGCTCAGACACGAGAATGTTCCTATCTTACACTGCAACCACCATTCCATACAACACAACCAAGATCCTCTTTCTGCCTCAACTCAGTTACTCTTTCAGTGCTTCTGCTGTTTTGCTGGACAAAATGGAAAGTCTTCTCTGCCTCACAATCATGTTGGAAGGTTTGATGTATTGTCAGCTGAAGAGTATTTGGAACAGCCTTAAAGCTAAGAATAAATCAACCTTTGAGGAAGCCCCTTCTCTTAAAGTTAGAAATTTAAACCACTGGGGGCAAAAGTGGAGAAACACACAGACATCCAAGCTAACTGGAGAAAGGTCAGAGAGAAGAACAGCCGAAAGAAGATTAAATTAGAAAGCAATTAGACTGCTGGGGAATATGTAGGTGAATTTCCTTTTATGTTAGACAAACAAAAACTTTATTTTATGACTTCAGTTAGAAATGGGGATGCTTGGTTGATTCTTTCTTTAACTAAAAATAACCTGCAAGTTATCCAATGAAAAATAGGATATTAAGTTTATTACCTCGGAAGAGATGTAAGTGACATCATGATTAGATTGAGATGGGTAGTGATCTTTATTCAGATTCTAACAAAAGAAGCAAATTTTTGTTTATCAGCTATTTTTGGTTACATTCTTAAGGAAAGTTCGTTATTAATATTCATAATTTTTAACCATTACTTAAAGAACGTATAAGACCATGTAATCCATGTTGGCATCAAGAAAGCCATCAAATGAATTAGAGTAAGTTACAGACTTCCTTAGAAATAAGTAAATAAAAACTAAATCTGGAAAAAATCTAAGGGGGGGGGGGGGGTAAAAAAAAAAATCTGCCAAAACATTAAACCTGAAAAATCTACACATAAAAAAATAAAAGCTTCTGTGTCAAGAAAAAAATCCATTAATTCAGAAAACCACTAATGTAAAATATTTTCTTACTTGTCGCATACAGAACAGTGATGGCAACGATCTGGTTTTACAAGACGGCATCTGTCACAGTATCTGATTGCTAAAGAAAAAAGTTCCAAGATTAGATCTCAATGTACAGTTACACATTTTGATTCCTGAAGTCTGCGCAAAAGTAAATACTAGCAGCTCAGCCCAGCAGAACGCCTGGAAAACACTTCAGCATGATCAGAAGCAGTTGCAAATACTGAAGCATTTTTTAAGTATTTGCAATGCTGAATCTAGCAGAGTGAACCCAAAAAGCTCAGTTTTTGCAATCTCTGCTAGTCATGCTAATCAGGGTTTTTTCTTCCAAACCCCTCAGCTCTGCAAAACAACCAATGAACCAACAAAACTCACATAACCCTCACTAGAATGGAAAACCTTTAAAAACTGTTCAACAATGTAGCTATTTTAAGCTATTATTCTAACAGCTTTAATTTACTATATGAGATTATCTCTTGGATTTGCTTAGCTAGCCAGCATTCACAAACTTACAATATCAGCACGTTAAGATTAACTCTTAGTTTGGAAGAACTTTTGTTCTTGCAACTGAACAACCAGCAAGTAAAACAGTAACAGTTTCTTACTATAATCTATCTAGCTATACATGACATACAGATAGTGATTAATTTTTATTTTTTTTAAACCTATGAAAGAAGAAATCTATGCAGTTAAAGATGGCTACAGCCTCTTCTGCAGTTTGTTAGTATTACAAGCTACTTGTTAATGTCACTTTGCAAACATTTAGCAAGGCATTGTCAATCCACTTTAAAATCCTAAATTGTACGCAGCAATTTACTTTCCAACAATCTTCCCACTGAATAAATGTAGCTGCCTAAAGCTACATTAAAGTTAAGTTCTTGGGTCACTTTGTTATTTTATGAAGTGTGGGGAAGAACTGCTTTTCATAATCCAAACCCTTGAATTTTTTTTTTTTTTTAATTAGTTTAGGTAGTACATCAAGACACCTGCCTTTGGTGGTCTCCTGAACACCTATTTACCTCCAGACATTGTCCGTGTATAGATAGGAAGATCCTTGGCTGCCCGTCTTAAGACTTCTTGCTGGGATTCACCTCTAGGTTCCCTCTCTAGGGATTCCTTGTCCAAATATGATAGATGAAACTGGAATAATTTTTAAAATCAAAGATATGTTAGCAAATTTCAAGTTAAGTAAGTATCTGTAGAGATGTAAAAAGAAATAAATATTCATTATATAAAGATGGATTAGCAGCACATACAAAGTATTACAGCAAATAACCCAGTGTTCCTAAGACCACTAATTTAGTTTATGGCAACTGAGGACAAAATTAAAATTAGTTCTGATTTGGTATTGATGCAATGCTGAATGCTTCCAGAAGCGACACTCTTCAAGAGGAGGATCAAGAGCTTATCACTCCCTTGAAAGGTCAGTTAATTTACTTCTGTAATACTAAATATTAGCTAGTGAATATAAGCCAGGGATGTCAGCCTTTAACTGAAAGAAAATATGCTACTAGTAATAGCAGAAAAGATAGCTTTATTTCTCTTTTGGTGTCTGGCATCTTCCCTTTTATTCTTTGCCACTGGAGAGTCGCTGTTCTCTTCATGCAGGTGTTAGGATGTGTTTTTACTTCAGAGACTGGCTGAGAGGAGGAAGAGGTGGGTGTCCTGTATGACAGAATAACCACGTCTTACCATCTTCCTGCATAAAAGGACAACTTCTGTCACTACCTAAAATGGCAATGACAAACATTGCTCTAGTAAGAGCTGAGAGGGTAAAAATTACTGAAAGAGATGCATGGTATACATGAAGTAGTCCAAATTTCTTATACTCTAAAGTCCTCTGCAACACAGCAACAGTCAGCTTTGTTGCTGTAGCTTCTAGAAATGGGCAGATGCTGAAGTCTTTGCTATGTCTATCAGAGAAACAGGATACAAAATCACCTCTGAAAAGAAGTCCATCTTTGGCAGGAAGAGTGGCTGTCTCTAACCTGTACCAGAAATAGAAGCCTTCTGCATAGCATTTATGTCTACAGAAAGGCTAGTCATGATAATAATATTAAATTTTTTCCTAACTGAAAGTGACCCATGTAAAACTAAGAAAACAGACAGAAACACATAGTTAGGAACCTCTTCTCACCTCCATAGAGAAGGCACCACTCCACCTCCCTGACAAAGTTCACAATCTTCCAGCAGAAGCTGGACATTCACTGTTTAGCATGAGTTTCTCAGGTCACCTTTCATTTTTCCCTAGTAAGAATACATTCTTGTCAACACCTAAATTGATTTATACTGGAATACATAGGATTTCTCACTGCAGAAACTTGGTTCAGAATACTTTTTTTTTTTTTAATGCTTCCTGTTTGAAGCACATAAAGTTATTGCTCCATCATTTTGTATTGGTTCTCAGAGTAGTCCTAAGTCTACAAAACCTTCCTGCCTGGGAAACCATCTTCGTGCTGGTACACACAGGTACAGAACGGCACACACTAAAGTGAAATCTCTCAAAGTATCTTAAAGAGAAACTGCAGCCAGATGACTCTTTCGCAACAGATCCTCAACTACAGAAGTTGTCCTCTACCACTGAGAGAAGTTCCCAACTCACAAGCTCTCATGAGAGAGAAGAAAGAAAATCGTCTATGTGAAAGCTTTACAAAGCATATGGGCACAACTGTAGCTAGGGTAGCACAGTATCGCTTGAGTTTGAAGTGTTTCTCTGGACAATTATTTCCAATATGAGAGGGATGGGGATAACACATTGAACTTCAGAAGAAAAATGTCAGATTAGCAATATTTTAAATTCCAAGCCACAGTGCCAGAACTTTAGCGCTTTTTATAAATGTAAAAAGTTGAAATAAACTTAAAAATAAATATACAGGCTGTGCGGTTTGCACCAGCTCCAGTGTTCATGAAAACAAAACCCAAAAGCTTTCTCTGTTTTTCAGTCTTCAAACAAATATTTGCTATAGTTCATAAGTCAGTTCAGTTAAGTTGAAAATACATCCTTTTACATTTACAACTTCATCCCAGAAACTGGAAGCCAAGCAGTAACTTAACACTACAAATACCCTAATTAAATTTTAAAAATACTGCTCTAGTAGATTAGGAAAAAGACATGGAACAACAAAAGATGTCACTCACTGCCAGCAACATTGTGTAAATTCAAAGAACACAGAAAAACCACACATTGTTTTCTATTACCCAACTTCAATACTTTTAATATCCCATTTGAAGTTCTCCGGTAGCATTGTATGGTGGCTTTGGAATCCCACTATAATTATTAAAGATTTGCCAAAATGTTTTTAGAGTCTTTTATTGGCATCAGCCCAGTGATTTGAAAACCTTTCTAATTACCACTACAGTCCCCAAATATATGCATGTATTTTGCTATGTAATTACCAAACGAAATAGTTTCTTAATCTATTTTCCTCCTCTCTGCCCCAAACTGTAGTAAAGACTGCAGTGTAAAATTCAAGGAAGATGCCAATTACTTTGAATTATCTCCTTGTTTCCACAATTACATATCTTATTAGTGAATGAAAACTACTCGGACAAGAACCTCCGCACAACAGACAGTAGAAATCACAAGCTATTTATTTTGTGTTGGCACGGTAGTTACAGGGGCTACAGTTATGAGTCCATGATGAAATAAGTATTGGCTTTGTGCATACTTCAAACTCCAAAGCGGCCATAGCATGAATCCTCTTGACCTCAGAGGTTGTGTGACATAGCACCTACTGAGGACTGTGGGGTTTCTGTACAAAGACAGGATGGTAAGAGGCCAAAAAGTTGCGCTGGTTGTACCAAACTGCATATGGAGGATTTTCATCAAAGCTATTGACAGTTTTCGCTTTCTTTTTCTTTTTTAATGTTAAAAAGAATGTGAAATTAAAATAATAAAAAACCCCCAATGCTGAACTAAAAGCAATTCTCTTGAGACTACATCATGTTGAACATGGTTTGTATCTTAATATTCTCCAAGACAACTGGATCCTTCGTCTTTAACACTTCTGTACTAGCTGGATTTAAGATTTGGGGCATATATTTACCTCAGACCTCTTTTCCATGCAGCTGTTCTATACTAGGTCCCTTCCTGCTTAACCAGCCATGGCTTCCCAGCATCAGCTTACCTGTTGCACGCTCACGCCACAACCCCCAAGTTCCTTCATACCAAAACAGATGGGGAAGAAGCTTTTATTTAGAGGACAACAGACAGATGCTGACAGGCAATATAAGTCTTAAACACATGAAAATACATTTTTTGCCCACATGAAAGTATTATATTCCCATGAAAGATTTAAGCTGCTAGTTCAAATAACGTATTTTTCAAGTGGAGAGGTTTTTTTCTTCTTAATATCATAAATATTACCTAATTTTAAAAATCTATTAAAAAACCTTTAAAACTTAGAGAAGGTGTAATTTTGTCTTGTTCATTACGCTGTTTGCAATCTGATATACTCCTATTAAGAAGCTGTAACTACCATCTGTATTTTTCTACACAGTTTAAAACTACATGAGATCAGAGTCTAAGTTATTCAAATACTACAAAATCAAGCATTTGACTAGGCTATTTCAGAAACAAAAGTTAAGTTTATCTTACTTCTTTTGAAGGATTCATTGGTAGCGTAAAGATTGTTTTCCAATATGACCAGACGAACAGCATGAAAAATATGTGGTAAGCAACCAGGCACACAACTAAAATCAAAAAGGGACAGAATTAATACAAACAGACCAGTGATATTATAGTACTTACAAACAGATGCTGTACATATCACAGATAGTTACTCTAACAGATGTAAATACATAGGCTCTGCAAAAGCTTTGCAACAAAAATATTGCACTTGCAACTTTACATGAGACAAATACAGACTGTGTGGGGAAAGTCACGATACAGGCTACATATATTACAAAAGTTCCAGGGGAATGGTTAATAGCTTATTAGAGCCCCAAAATTATTTAGCAAGCAATCCTCCTTTACGCATTTGTTAAATCCTATTTTAACTGATGCGTCTCTGCTTTTTAGCTTTATAAACCATGTAGGGAGACTGCTAGCCATGCAAAAAAAAAAAAACACCCAAAAATCCCAAAACCCCCAAAAGGGAGTATAACACCCCAAAATCCCAAAACCCCCAAAAGGGAGTATAGCTACCTAAACGACGACTAGAGTGAGGGGAGTCTTTGAGTGGGTGTGCATATGATACTGGAACAGTAACCATAACCAGTTAATTTGTTTTGCTAGATTTTTAGGAGGGAGGACAGCAGGGTAGTTTTTAAAGACCTGCAGGTTCTTTAAATTCAAATGTTCATTCACTACTTCATATTCTTCACAGACAGTGATTTATTCTTAGATTTTTTTTAATAGATGTCAGTCAACATTTACTATGCTGAGTTGTTTTACTAGAATACAGAAGGTAACATTAACTTCTAAGAGCCTGCCATGGATTGATAGGTGTTTCCATGTAAAAGCTCTCACTGTACCAAGCAATTCACTACAGTAAATAGTAAATCCAAAACTTGTATCCTCTGATTAACTTGCTCTAATGCACAAGAAAGAGTATTTCCTTGGATTCTTTGTCCTTGGGCAGAGAAGAGGCAAATAAAGGACAGCAACAGTGAAAAATATTACTTCCCTGCTGTACAGATGAACTCAGATCATGCAGAGCTCAGGGTTATATGGAAGCTACACGGTCAAATATTCTTTATACAACTCTATAAATTTATAAGACTGTTAAAAAAATCATAAAGGGAAACGTGTACTTTCACTACACAATCTGAAGTATTGCCCTCGTATGGTTAGCCTATGTTTTTATATATGTAATGCTATTCTGTGCTAGAGAAGTTTCCATAACACATGCATGACGGTGTGCATAAATGCAGGAACAGTAGCCCAGCATGTTCTTCTTTTTTGTAATTCTGCCTCAAAAGTAACACTGAATACATGTTTCTGGTGTTGAAGTTTGTTTACTCAAAAAAAAGCAGCAACACAGTAAATATTTATCCTTGTTCACTAGACAGTTAAAAAAATAAACAAAAGCTAGCAAAACCTGGAGAGCAACACTGTACTAAGCTTTTGGGATGACAGGGGAAAAGAGCCATATGGCATGTCTATAAACTGAAAAAAATCTCATCAGTGTAAGTAAGTGACAGAACTGGACTCCACTTCAAACACAATATCCGAGATTACACTAAAGGACCATCTTGCTACTGCACAAGCATCTGTCAGGAACAGTCCACATTTTCATCCGAACATTTCTATCAACGCTAAAAACACCTGATCTACTCTAACAAAATCATTATTATTTTTTAAACAACAGTATATTCATGGCATAAAGTGAGGGCAAGGTAAGGCAAGTTACATCAGTTCTGTACACTATGCGTTTACTAATCTGCATCTATGTTTTATTGTTGTGAGAATAACGGTAACTGTGATTGTTAAGAAAATTCCTTTTTCATACATTAAAAAAAGAGACTACTGGAGGGAGACAAAATTTTAGCCTAAAGACATTACCCCATGTTTCCCCTTTAAAGTCTGCACAAGACTGAAGCTCTTCTTGTTTGCTCTTGCACCTCAGTTCTCCAAGCTGGCCCAGGTCCTGACCGGTCACCTCTCCCAGGTCACCTACCCACCACTTTCCCTGCACTGCAATGGAGACCCTGGGCTACCCAGCTGCTCCACTGGGTCTGTGGGAGTTGAGAGTCCAACGTAAGAACCTCAATTCCCTTGAGACAGAAAAAGAAGAGCTGTCCACAGCTCCCTGGGCAGAAGTCCTTCTATTTTACACTTTTTCTGGAAAAAAAAAACCAGCCAAAAAAATCCTACAAAAAAACCCCACCCCAAAACCTAAAAGCCCAAAACAAATGGTGTATCCCTTGCTTGAAGGCAACCCATTTACAAATAGCTAGAGTTGCCTGGAAATATGCAGCAACCTGTAATAGGGCTGAGCAACATTTGCCCAGTTTTCAGCCCTGAAAACACTTAGGGCAGAAGTACAGCCAGGGTAAATTTCTCCCGAGTGGCTGAAGCCCACCAAGGCTCTGAGCAGCTAAAAATAAGGAAATTATTTTCCCCAATGCATTTTGCTGGTAATTCTAATTTGCTTTGTGAGCAATGCCTAACACCACACTGGTCTCTGACCCCCCCCCCCCCCCCCACCCCCACACCAAACAGACATGACCCACCAAAAACTTATGCACTCTTATGGGGGACGGGGGAAACATCACTAAACTGAAAAAAAGTTTTTCAAGGAAATGTTTCTTGATTGGCAAACACTTGTTCTCTAAGTGAGGCTCTCAAACCTGCTGGAATTACACAAATGTAAAAAGCATATAGCTTGTCTCTTACCCCGCGCCCCCCTCCTCCAAAAGCTCCACAGCCCCACACTTTACACTTCCACGTTGTGCTAGTATTAAAATAGCATCTGGAAAAGCAATCTAAACATGCTACAGCCTCAGGGTAGGAACTCTAATAACAGCTAATCAGGCGGGTTTATTATCTTTTGCTAAGAGTAGTATGGAGCAGCAAGAAACTGGAATTATTTCAAAGTTTGCAGGTGCTGAAGTTTGCAGATATGCTTATGCACTCTTATGGGGGACGGGGGAAACATCACTAAACTGAAAAAAAGTTTTTCAAGGAAATGTTTCTTGATTGGCAAACACTTGTTCTAAGTGAGGAACTCTCAAACCTGCTGGAATTACACAAATGTAAAAAGCATATAGCTTGTCTCCTACCCCGCGCCCCCCTCCTCCAAAAGCTCCACAGCCCCACACTTTACACTTCCACGTTGTGCTAGTATTAAAATAGCATCTGGAAAAGCAATCTAAACATGCTACAGCCTCAGGGTAGGAACTCTAATAACAGCTAATCAGGCAGTTTTATTATCTTCTGAAAAGGTTACGTATCTGAAGGATATTGTTTCTTCAAAGACATTGGCTAAAATGAAAGTGCAGAAAAAATTCACCTCCCATTTAAGTATGTCGCACTCTGCACAAACACCTTGCTCATCTTTAGAAGTCCTGGTTTTAAAAGAGCTTTCCTTGTTATGAATAGAATTTTTTAAAAACAGAATATAAGGATTATTTTAGTTGGCACTTCAGAAAGCCAGTAAAAAGCTCTAATTTTTCTCATCTCTATTTGGAATGGCTAAAGCAATATTCAGGAACAACAGGATAATAAAAGGAGCTGAGGAACACAAAAAAATACACTTATTTAAAACAGATTAGATCTGTATCTCAATTCTACTAGTAAACTACTATACTACCCTGATATATTAATTCCACTTAAAAACACCTAAAAAAAAAATCTTACCTTTTTCTCCAATATTTGTCATTGTCACTGAAAAATGAGAAAAAAAGAAAGAGTAAAAATTATATTTAAATAGCAAATGATGTAACTGAGTAGTTTAAACTTTTGTTTTTCAACCAAAGAGGGAAGAGTACTCATCAAACAATACGAGCTTAAGACCACACACTATCAAGCTTTTATGGTGTAGCCATGTACATTCACCACAAGAATAGGTAAACAAAACCAATGCCAGCAGCTTATAAGGTTTCCTGGCTCCCACCCCCAGGCTCAGTTCCATAGCACCTCCCTCTATCTGAAGTTACCCCAGAAAAGCCATCTCTGAAGAACAATTATTCTTCAGAACTGTGGTCTTCAGGTTTTGTTGTTTATATATGTTCTGTTCTTGAGGTGGAGGTGTCAGAACACAGAACTGGTTTTGCCAGCGATACTCAGTGATAACTTAGATGTCCAAGGCATAAAAATCAAAAGTAGACACAAGTTGCATTTCCTTTAAGAAACTGCCCACAGATTACAGGATTTGGGGATAGTAAGTGAGTGAGAAAGGCGCAAGTATGGCAGGCATGGAGTGGAGTACACAGGAATCATGTATCAGTCACTGCATTTATGAAAAAGAATAAATCTTCTTCTTACACCTATATTCCACTCCCGGTCATATTATTAAAAAAAAGGCCAAACCCACAACAGATATCTCAAAGAGAGAACAGAAACTCCCAAGTGATCAAAAACCTCATGGTGCTCTTCCCCTTCCACCCAAACCACTCCACCACACAGTCATCCATCCCGATTAAGCAGTCTACAAACTGTAACACAGTGGCACCTATAAGTGCAAGTGAGAGGACAGTAGCTATATGGACCTCATCTGCTTTTGTTTTCCTAACAAAAATGGCTGCACAAGGCCATTTATCAAACAGCAGGCACAAGGCAACTCCTACTGAAAGGCCGACCACCCATGCCATCCTACTTTGGCATATTAAACTTAGGCTTGTTGATAGAGTAAAAGTCACTATTTAAATATATCTTGCACAATGCAGGGATCTACTGTGGGACCAGTGCTGCTCAACACCTTAACTAATGCTCTGGAAGAGTGAACACTCATCAAGTTCACAGATGACACCACCCTGGGGACACCAGATGATATGCTCGTGTGCAAGACGGCCATCCAGAGGGACCCAGACAGGCTGGAGGAATGGGCCGACAGGACCCTTATGAAATTCACTGAGGGCAAAGGCAAAGTCCTGCACCTGTAAAGAAACACCCCCCTGCAACGATACAGCCTGGGGACAGCTGGGCTGGAGCAGCTCTGTGGAAGAGGCCATGGGGGTGCTGGTGGGCAGCAAGCTCAACATGAGCCAGCAGCACTCAGGCAGCAGAGAGGGCCACCAGCCTCATGGGTGGCATTAGCAGGGGCACAGCCAGTCGGTCAAGGGAAGGGATTATCCCCCTCTACGCAGCACTCACTAGACCACATCCAGAACATTGCCCCCAGCTTTGGGCCCCCCAATACAACAAACATGCAAGTCCAGGGGAGAGCGACCAAGCTGGTAGGGACTGGATCACTCACCCTCTGAGCAGAGGCTGCATGGCCAAGGCTTGTTCAGCCTGGAGAAGACACAGCTTTGGGGGGACCTAACAGCAGCCCACCAGGACCTCCAGGGAGGTATCGAGGAAGTGCAGCTGGGCTCTTCATAATGGTGCAGGGTGGGAAGACAAGAGCCAGTAGGCATAAGTTGAAATGAGAGTATCGGATTTGATACAAGGAAAAACTTTTCCACCATGAGAACAGTCCACCAGTGGAGCAAGTTGCCCAGAGAGGTTGTGCAGTCTCTGCGTCTGGAGCTTTTCAAGACTCAATCAGATAAACCCCTGAACAACCTGGCCTGACCTTACACCAAACCCTGCTTTGATTAGGTTGCCCTAGATGAGCTGAGATCCCCTCAAACATTAATTACTCCACAATTCTATAATTATAAAATAGGTCTATTAAAACGGATATTTGCCTATAGTTCTACCAAAATGAGCATCTACTTTACCTGAAGGAAAACAGTAAATAACCATGTTTATAAAGTTCTTCACAAAAATCAGAAGACACTACAGAAGTTGCATAAGCCATTATAAAGAAAACTCTATTCTGCCCTCAGTTTTCTAGTTCAGCTGAAAGAAATCTTTAGAGCTTGATAAGCTAAATATCCATCTAGACAACTGCTAGAAAGAAGCTGAGGAATCATGTATACACGTTTGACTCTGAGATGCAGAGATGCTGCAGTACAATAATGCACAAGAATTTTAAAATTCTAAGTAAACAGTCATCCACCAGAAAAAAACAAGACATCTTTAGAGTCAACGTGTAATTTAAAAGTGCTGGAGCTCTCAGATTAGGACAAACCGGCCATCACACAAATGCTGATTTTCTGTCTCCACTTGGTATAGTCAGCAAGGTGTGCAGAAATTTGCCAGTCTTCTTGGAATAACCACTCTCTGCTAATTAAAAAGCCGTAGTCAACCATACATTGCAGAATCACCAGTTTCAAACTAAAATCTATTTAACCAACCTTTCACAATGATTTGTGGTCTTTTTCTCTCCTAACAAGGGAAAGGCATAGACCATTGCTGTGAAAGCAGTTGTCATCTTTTTTTCCCCCTTAACCTTGGATAAAATGTATTAATTAATGTGTTTGAGACTTATTTTCTGCCCCAACAAAAATGTTTCCACACATCGGTAAGTGAGGGACCAATACAACTAATAAATCCAAATTTAATAATTTCTACCTGACTGCAAGCCTACAGCTTTTCAAAATCTCTCTCCACCTCCCAGATGAAATGTGCTCTTCAGAGTGCACCTGCTCAGCAGACAATCTTTTTAGCTTTTGCGGTATCTAGCTCGGAAGCCAAATATTCCTGACAGTCAGGAGCTGCAGACCATGAAGGCTAAAACATAAGTGCCCAAAAATGTCCAGTTAATCCCAGCAGGGTGAGAACCAGGGTTTTTTTTGGATACATCTTGTAATTTTAATAACTTTTACCACCTGGTAAGACTCAGAGTTATTTCATACACTCCCGAGTTGCAACCACTGTAAGAGACCAAAGTAGAAGAGGCAGATCTGAAGAGGGAAGCCAGTATCTTCAATCTTGACATCTTTTTTCTCCACACTTACTGCAACTGGTGTTTACGAGGAGACTGGCCACGTTGCTTAACAAACATCCCCTCAGACAGTGACACAGAGGAATATGCAATACCTAATAACCTGCAGCTTTTCACAAGGTGAAGTATTACTCCTTCTGCTTACACCTTTTTAAATCACCTTTGATGAAGGCTCCCTAAAGGAGGTATAATGTGTGGGAAAGTAATGGACAGGCATCTGCAGTACCACAGGACCTGGGAAGAAATAAAAGCGGTTTTTGTTTTGGTTGGGTTTTTTTTTTGCACAAATGTGGCAGAATTGATCAGCGGAGGCGGGGGGGGAGCCCTTAGAAATCAAACTCCCTCTGAAACTTCTCTTAGAAATTTGTAGAATGACCATGATATAAGGACTTCTTAGGGTAACCACAAGATGCTTGTAATTCTAAAAATCACACTATTTAAGTGCATGGAAAATACCTTTATAACAAGAAAAAACCCCTCTAATTTTGGATCTGATCAAAGAAACATTTGCTATTTTCCCCACCTTCTGAACAGCAGACATGAGATATTTATTTAAATCAAATTTTATATTTTTCAGTAGATACAGTGATACGGCTTTGCTATATTATTCAATAGTACTTGATCATATAGTCTTCTGTGAATCATTTATGCCAGTCTTTCTGGCAGTTTTCTCATTTCTCTTCCAAAGGGTTATATTCACTGCTAGTAGCGCACAGAAAAGTAGGTCAGACTGTGCATTCTGTCATTAATAAGTATCATCCTAAATGCTGCAAATTCACTTACTGGTAGTCAAATATCATACAAATAATAAGGGTAAAAAGTACTTCTGTCTACAATGACTAAAATAAGCACCAAGGACACACCAATCCCAACCATTAAGCCATTTCTACAATTTGAGAGAAAACCAGGTAAAACCCTTTGAGAGAGGAATGGAATGATACTCCCGTATATTCAGAGACAGAGATAATTATAAAACCATGACCTGTCTTCAAGAAGTCATTAAAAAGTTACAGCACTGTTCGCCTGAGGGGGCCAATTTCATTAAGAATCAGCCTTCCACTGCTAAAGCGTCAGGATGCCATTTACAGGTCAGTACTAGCAGACTATCACATAATCAGAGCCTCTCTGTTTCATTATACAGCTTGCAGACGGTGCTCATCAGAATTAGGATCAGGCTGGGACATACACAGGACTTCGGCCAATGTAGATGCCAATTTCCTGATCCAGAAACATCGTTCCCTGCTTGTCATGAGCCACAGGCAGCCAGAAACAGGAACAGCACATTCAGTAGTCAATGCTGCTGAACAGCCTGTGCTTGCAAAAAAACAACAGTGACTGAGGACAGAAAGTTGTGTTACAAAAGATAGGAAAAAGTCCAGGATGGAAAGGACACCTGGAGAAGCCTGGGGAGTTCATCCCACACTTCCTGGTAGTCTTCCTCACTGGAAGAAAGTCATGCAGCATCAGGAATGCTGCCTTGGCAGGCAAAGAGGCACCACAGTATCTCAAGACTGCCTCCTACAACTCCATCACCAAATTAGTTTGCTAAGAAGAGAAGCCACGTTGCTAGGCACTTCACACTGCGTGAGACCTTAATTCAGTGATAGAAATGGATTTCCCATTTCTTGAACTGTGGCTCATTTTCTCTGGAAATCTTTATTCTCACTCACCCATGGAAAAATTAAGTCGACATCCATCTCCATGTAGCTAGAGACATGGCAAGACACATTGCTACCACAAAACTCAAAAGATTTTGGAAGATAAAATTCATGTAAAAAATTTGCATTGGTTTTCTAACATTAAAGTTTGCTTGACTTCTAAATCCAAAATCAAAGTTCCTGAACAGTAAATGTAATGGTTAGAGAAAAAAAATACTGGAGAAAGCA